TTCCCCTACAGCAGTGGATGGGGGGCTGGCCCCAAACAGCTCACCTGAGTGAGGGGGATGCCCCAGAGATGTCTGCTCTGCCATGTTTGGATTAGGTGTGAGGAGCAATGCCACCAGGGTGCAGTGGGGAGAGATTTCGGTGAGGGACCTCCCTGCCTGGGGATGCCTGCACCCAGGGCACAGTGTGCCTGGGGACAAGGTTGGGGACCTGCCCTGGGAAAGGGCTTTGTGTCCCACCCGCCGGGACCAGTCACCAGCATTTTGCTGTGAGTGTGGGGTCAGCTCCGCAGGGTGTGGGAACGGCCGGCCAGGAAGCTCTTGGGCGTGTGTCTTTCCTGCCAGAGCCTCCCCAAACTGAGTCATCCTGCACGATGCTGTGCTGTCTGCCCTGCGCTCCCTCCTCCTGTACTGCGAGTGCAGCTGAGGGGTCACCGCCTGGCCCAGCCGTGCCCCTTGGGCAGCGGGGCGGACCCTTCATGGATGGCCATCCAGCGCTAGGCTTGCTTTTGGGTTTGGCTTCGGTGTCCACCCAAAGCCAAGCTGCAAGGTGGGTAAAACCCAGGAAATTTAGCACCAGACAGAGAGAACGAACTGAGTTTGGTTGTAACTCGGGGTGGCTCCAGTGCAGAACCCAGCAGTCTCCTGGGGGGGACCCCAAACACGCTTTATCTCCAGGGCAAAAAACTTGTTTATAGAGTGAAGGATCTTCCCAGGTGTCCTCTGGGAACCTCTCTGTAGAGTGGAGTGTCTTCTTGTGGCAAAAGGTGGTGACAGGTGGGACCTTTGGAGGCAAGGCGGGGGGAAGAGCCCCCGCTCTGCTCTGGGATCTCCATGTCTGTCGGCCGCTGTTCATCGCCTTCCCTGGTAGGCAGTGTAAAAACTGTTTCACTGCAAGAACCCAGCGATGATCTGGCCCTTGGCCTTAATTTTCTTTTGTTTTTCTTTTTTTTCTTACAGTTGGCATAAATAATAGAGTGGGAGCAGCCTTGGTGCTGCAGCAGGGACCTAGGCGCGTGTTGCCACGCAGATAAATGCCTGAAGAACACTCACGTGCACAAAGAGGATGGGTATCCAAGTGCTGGTGGTGCCTGGCTGCTCTGGAAGGACGGCTCTGCACCAAGAGCCGTCCTGGGCTCGGTGGCTTTGCGTGTTAGGCATGTGCTTTGCACCCGAATTGTTACAAATCTAGCAAACCTTGTGCTGCGTACCTGGGCATGAGTGGTGTGCTGGGATTGGCTCCAGGCAGTGAGCAGCTCCCTCCACCGCACGGGAGACGAGTGAAGCGAAGCGTGGAGATGCCTGGCCTTGGGCTGGACCAGGGCAGGTTTGGGGCCCCCCCGGGAGCTGCCCTGCCTGTGGCTGCAGCCCCCTCCTGCATTGGGGGAGTGGCCACGTGCACTGTGGCTGCCGCAGAGAGCCCCACGCGGCTCGTAAAGTCCCGTGCTCGGATTAGGAGATGCCAGACATGCAGTTTCCCGGGCAACCTTAATTCGGCCCCACATGCAAGGGCATTAGGATGCAATCGGTAATTGCATGGTCTTCGCAGTTTGCCCTCTGAGAGCCCTGTCCCGTTCCTGGCACCGGCTGGCGCCTCCAGGCCCTGCAGCCCTGGGGCTTGGGGCACCGTTCTTGCCTCTTGGATTGTGCATCCCAAGGTTGCAGTGCTTCTGGAGACAGTTAGGAGTTGCCTTCCCAGCTTTTCCATGGCTCTCCACTGTAATATCTGCCCATTTAGAAAACAAATGGCTTTACATTCTCAGCACACCACAGTGCTCGGCTTGGCTCCTATGAAGAGGTGGAGGAGTAAAGCTGTTGTGGCAAAACCCCACTGAGCCTAGGGAGCTCGGAGACTCAAGCCCCTGATCTGAGCCATTCGCCCTGGGTCTGAGCTGAGCCCAGTGGGTCCCGCCTAATTGGTGCTGAGCACCTCTGCATCCCCCTGCAAGCCAAATACAGTGTTAGGGCTCTCAACAGAGACGTGTTGGGATTGCCTACTGTCCTCTGCTTTCTGGACCTGGAGCTGGAGGCACCTGAGCAGGAGCCACCCTGCGAGCTTGCTGGGGCTCATGTGTCCCTCCCTCCCCAGGAGGACAAACCCAGGTGCCGAGGAAATATGGAGTGGTGTTTCCTCTGGTTGGGAAGCACGACCGCTGTGTGTGGAGGAGCCTCTTGGCTGCCAAGCTGCTGTGCTGGTGCCCTGTCTTGTCTGAAGCTGCTCTGTGCTTACGGGGAAGGTCCAGGACTGGTGCCAGCAGCGAGCCGGGTCTACCTCTGTCTAGCAAGATGCACCTAGGAAGTGGGGTTCATGGCAGGTTTGAATGCAGGCAGGTTGGGCCCAGGTTGGGAGGAACAAGCAGGTAACCCCTTTCTGAGCCCAGGAGGGTCAGCAAACAGTGTTTCACAGCCTGGCGGCGCTCGTGGAGCTGTGAGAGCTCTTTGCAAAGGGTGAGCATCGGGCACAGTGCTGCCTGTCCATCCATCTCACAGGCGCTCGTGTGTCAAGCCCACGCGTTTGTGCGTGTCAGGACGCCTGCCCGTGTGCTCGTGCCTCCCTTGGCACTAGTGCATGCGCCAATGAGCCGTTGCCGGCTAGGGGCTGGGCTCTGCGGATGCTTTCGCAGCGGAGCGAGAGCTTCTTCGCAGCTTTCCAAAGCAGCCCGCAGGATCTCCCAGTTCTTTGGAGTGGCAGGTGCTGATTCGCCCTTGGGATCTTGTAGGCCACGGCTGGGAAGCACCTGCCTACTGCAGGCTGAACCCTTCTTTTGTTTAGAAAACAGGGGCTTCCCACAGTGAATTTGCAGTCGCTGCTGCTCATCTCCCCGCCCCATGAGCGTGAGGTTGGGTCCTGGGAACCAAGCAGCCACAAAAGTCACCGGCAACTTAAGATTTCCCTGGGGGGTTTTGCCCCAGCGGTGGCAAGCAAAGGGCTTCAGGCCCCTGACTCAGCCTGGCCCCTTGGCGTCCCCGGCGGGGGCTGAGCGATGCTGCGTCTCCCTCGGATGACGGAGGAGAGAGCAGATTTCCTGTCTCCTGCTGCAAAGCCAGGGGTTGGCTGTTCCTGCAGCCCCGTCCCGGCTCGCTGGCACCACGCCCTGCCTGCAGAGCCAGCAGGCAGGTTTTGCTTTTTCCCTCTCTCTGGCAGAGGCTGGGACCCGAGCAGCCCTCTGTCCTGCTGCTGCCTCACTGAGGGGTGAGAGCATTGCCTTGCCCCCATGCTTGAACCCCCTTTGTGCTTGCCTGGGGTGGCTGCGAGCCCCGTGGCTGGCAGAGTTTGCTCTGGGGATGATGCTCTGCTGCTCGCTTGTGCCCTGGTATGGAGGGGCCAGGCTTGGCGAGCTGCCCCAGCTCCCCACTGCATCAGCTGCCCTGGGGAGCCTGGAGCTGGGACGTTTATGGAGGAGGTGGTGAGCCAGGGCACAGAGACCCACATTCCCCCGCAGCTCGGGGGGATGTGAAGGCTCAGGGCTGTGCGGAGGTGTTTACAGCTCCAGTTCCTGTTCCCTTTTCCTGCTGGGTTTTGCTGCTTAAGGCTATTTTCGGGCCGCTCTGCACAGGAAGGAGGAAGAAGTGTTTTGTGTTAAGCTGATTATGGGAGCTGGAGAGGAATGCATGAGTGGCCCTGGTCTGCAAGGCTGGCCAGGACGTGGCGGTGAGGACAGAGCCTGGTGCTGGGTGGGATTCCCCAGCCACTGCACCGTGCTCAGGCCATTTGGTCCTTGTTGTAGGAGCTCTGCCTAGCTTGCATTGTGGTGGCAGAACCCATCTCACCAGATGGTCCAGCCTGGGGTTTGCATCCTGGTGGGCGGCCATTCCCCGGCAAAGTTGCTTGGGTGCACTTGGACCCTGCTGGAATTGCCTGGCCCTGTTTTGGGAGCAGGCTCTCGGGCTGGAGGTGGGATGTACAGCTCCAGGCTTGCTGGGGGCTGCGGCATTGTGTGATGGGGTGCTCTGGCTGGGAAGCTGCTGAGGTGCTGGAGCAGGTGTGTGGCTTAAGCACTAGATGGGATCAAGCTCCGGGGCATGCCCCGTATCCTCCTGCAGGATCATTTCCTTTTTGATAGTAAGGGTAAACCTTGGGCTTTTTGTGCCATCTCCGTGATGTGGCACTTGAGAGGCTCCTGGTCCTGCTTCCCTGTGACTCCTGATCACAGGAGAAGCCCTGTCTTGTGTTACTTGGGACGCATGTGGGGATGCTGCGGGGTCTGGGGAGGGAAGGGAGGGGAAGCTGTGGGCTGTTTGTAGCCCTTCTGTTAAGAAATGTCTTTGAACGAGCCCGTGTGAGCCCTGGAAAATAACCTGTGAGTTCCCAATTGTGCCAGTGCCAGCTGACACCCCTGTTAGCAGGATCTGCACCCCTTCTCTGCCTTGGGGGAGGAAACGTGGCTGCATGCCAGGGAGAGCATCTGCATGCCGTGGGGGGGGATGCAGCACTGCCGGCGGCCCTGCACCACAGCAGGGGCTTTGCTGGGGCGCCTGTGCGGCAGCGGCGACCCAATGGTAAGGGAGGAGGCCAGGCCACCTTCTGCTCTGCTTGGCTCTGTCTCAGCTGGAGCATTTCCATGGCCGAGCGCCCATGCCTGGAAAGCCGCCAGCTGCCAGCACCTGCTCTGCGGGGCTGCCATGATGCAGGCTCAGGGTCCCAGCTGCCACTCTGGCTGCTGCTAGCAGAGCTTGTGGGGAGGTTTCAAGAGGCTTCAACTGGTCCCTGACCCCCCCCACCCCCCAAAAGGCAGGGAGTACCCTAACCCTTCTCCTACCCTTTCCCTCTTCCAGCTGGCTGTCCTGGAGGACTATGCAGATCCCTTTGATGCGGCACAGGTGGCTGGTAGCCAGGCAGGACTGGAGAAGGTGACGGAGAATGATGGGTACATGGAGCCATATGAAGCCCAGAAGATGATGGCTGGTAAGGTGGAAGGCTCTGTGCAGAGGCCACCCTTTGTGCCTCTGGTCCCTGCGGCGTGAATTTGGTGGCCGATGTACTCTGTTCCTTGCAGCCTGTGACAGCACCAGGTCCTCCAGACACGGCAAACCTGGGCGATTGTGGCGGTGGTGCACAGCTGCTTTGCAGGCAAATTTTCACAGGTTTAGCCATGTGCGATGGGCTCGGTGTAGCCAGAGCACTCCCAAAGGCTTCCCAAGCAATAAAGGCACCTTGATATTTCTGCCAGCGGTGCTGCCCCCTGGGACCATGGTGCCTGACTGCCAGGCTGAGCCAGGAGAGACCTGACATTCGATGTCTCTGGCATAAAACTAAGATGGATGTGGGAGCTATTTAATGCAGTTAGGACTGGGCCAGAGCGTGCCATTGTCTGCCACAGCAGTGGGGTCCTCAGTGGGCTTGTTCATGGCTGGAAAGCAGGTGAGGTGGGAGCCTGCGCTCCTGAAGGCACAGCCCTTGCTTGCTGCGGCGCAGGCAGGGTCACCGTGCTGGCGCGCACGCTCCAGGCTCTAGCTCTGCTTTGCAGTCCTGTGGTTTCTGGAAAGCTCGTGTGGCTTTTTGGACTAGATTGTTGCATTTCTTGGAAAAAATTGGCAAGCGGTGAAGAGGCTGCGTGTGTCTGTGGGAGAGACTTTTCTTTTGCTCAGGGGAAGGGCATTTTATTAAACTAGCCATGCTGGGTGTCTAGGGAAGAAACTTGGCCTCGTGGTACACTGGGAGTCAGGTTCTGGGATGCTCTCTGTCCCCACGGACCCTGCTTTGCAGGGCTGCCCGAGAGCATGGATGTTGTACCATGGGGAGAGAAGGCATCTCGCTGCTGTGGACTGCTCAGGACCTGGCTTCCCAGCAGCTCCCCCTGTTCTGGCAGGCACTTGCTGGAGGTTTGGGGGGTCTCCTCCATCACTGATTTCTCCCTACCCCACAGCAGACTCAGGTGAAATTGAGCACTTTTGTCTAGCAGGGCTTTCGGGACCATGGTCGGGCTGTGTTGGGTGAAAAGCTCATGGTCTTTTCCTTCTTCTCTGGCTAGAGATCCGCCAGAAGGGCTTGTGGGAGGCTCCTGCCCGGCCGCTGCACCTCTACGACACTCCCTACGAGCCTGTGCTTGGAGGGCTGGACATGGACGGTGACCGCCCAGCTTGCCCCAGGCCCAGGGAGTCCCGGCTGCCTGAGGATGACGAGCGGCCGCCGGAGGAGTACGACCAGCCCTGGGAGTGGAAGAAGGAGCGGATCTCCAAAGCTTTTGCAGGTGGGTGACGGGCACAGCCATAGAGGCCGGGTAGCAGCCATAAAATGAACGATGCCACACTGTGTTTTGCAAGGGGGGAAGCTGGGTCCTTGGGGTCCCTTTGTCTTTTGGGTGTTGATAGTGTTGGCCTCTGCATTTCCGTGGCTCGGGGAGAGCTCCTGCACTTCCAGAGGCTGTTTCTTTCTAGCAGTGAGCCAGACTGCTCCTGGGTGGAGTGGTGGATGGAGCTGCCTTGACAGCCTGTCCAGTGCCCGTCTCTCATTGCCTCTTCCCCCCTCTGCTGATCACAGCGTCTGGTGCAAGTTGACCCCCCTCAACCCCGCATTGCAGGGTCGAGGCTCGACCCTGGGCTTAAGCAAATCCCTCCTTCCTCGGGGCAGGAGAAGAGCTGGGCGCTCCCCCAGGAGCCCTTGGCCGGCGATCGTCCAGCCCCCTGACCTATTTATCTGTGCTGTGGGATCGATTGTGTTTGTGTTTGTTAATGAGGAAATCCATGCTGTGTATTAGCGTTGGCTCCTCTGCTGGCGCTGGCTAATTGCCACACTCTTATCTAAGATGCATTTTAATTGCAGCAGTGTGCGTCTGTGTTGCAGCTGGCGTGCACAGGGCACTCGAGCCGGTGGTTGTTGGTGCTGCACGGGGATGCTGGCGGAGAGAGATGTGGAGATTCTGGCTTGGGAGTGGCTCACCTCTTGGGTTTGGGCTCTGTGAGCTGGAGATGTGTATGATGGGCTCGGCGCCGTGGCGTCTGCTCGTGCCTGGGGTGGCGCTTGTGCCGCTGGGGCTACAGCTGGTCACGGGGCTGGTGTCCGTGGCACACTGTGCCGAGGATTTGGCTTGTTGGGCTCTGTCACGAAATGCAGTGCGCTGCCAGGCTGGGTTTGTGCTGAGGTGTCTGTGCTCTGGACCTGGGCGGACAAGCTGCCTTGCTCGATGTCACTGGGTGGAGGTGGCCTGTTTGCAGGTCTGCCTACCCAGGGAGCTCCAAGTTCTGAGGGCATCAGGTTGTTGTGCCCCAGGACTCGTTAGGACCTATTTTCTTCTGGAGCCAGAGCAGGTCCTGCTGTGGCTCTCGGTGTGTTTCTTCTCTCCTGCGATGCTGGGATCTCTCTGCTGCCCCTTTCCCCCTTTGGGGGACCTACGAGATCCCTGCTGATGAGCACCTGGCACTGGCATGAGGCAGCAACCTGCTGGTGCCTGGCAGGAGAACCTGGTCCCCGTGGGGTGGCCGGGAAGCACCTGGGGCAGGACGGACGCATGGGCAGGACAGATGGCAATGGGATGCTCGGCCAAGGTCCCCCAGAAGGACATGCACGTGAGATGGGGGTGAGTGCAGGCTCCCCAACCCCAGCCCAGACTGGGGCGGCCGGGCAGACTGATGAAGGAGCAGGGTCTCTCCATCGGGAATGTGCCCCACATGAACCTCAGGGCTGTTCATGCTTGGTGCTGGGGAGGGGATGAGATGGTCAAGCTGGCATAGGGTTCCTGGGAGTTTAGTCCTCAGGTCTTTACCTCCACAATTGCTCTCCTTTTCCATGGGCCTGGTGTTGCTGATGTTTTTTTCTAAGCCCTTTCTTTCTCTCTTTCTCTTTCTCTCTTTTCCATCCCCCCTGCCCCCATCCAGTTGAAATCAAGGTCATTAAAGACCTGCCATGGCCACCGCCGGTGGGACAGCTCGACAGCGGTGAAAGCGCCCTGGGCAGTGAGTCCAGTGCCTCCGTCCCTCCGCAGCACAGCCAGCCCAGCTATGAAGACGCCAATGGTGGGTCTCGTGTGACAGCGGAGTGTCTGTGGGGGCTGCAGCTGGCGCTCACTGCAACCCTGCCTTGCTGCCCCCCTGGCCCCGGGGTGCTGTGATGCCTCGGAGCTTGCCCGGACCTGGCAGGGCTCTGCCCACTGCCCACGGGCGCTGCCAGACATCCACCCCCCTCCTCCTCCTCCTTCCCCCAGCTCCTCCTGGCTCATTCGCTTGTCCTGTGCCGGACACCAGATGCTTGTCCTTGCCTCTTGTGCATCTTCTCCAGCTCCACGATGCCTCTTTGCATGCAGCAGTTGAGCTGCACCAGGGGATTGCTCAGTGGCAGAGTTATTACCTTCTCTTTTGTTCTCTTCTCTCTGCCTCCAAATTCCCGACGTTTGATGACTGCTTTTGCGGTCTTCTCAACAACTGCTCTGAGCATTTAGCTGCTGTTTTCTTGTGACTCTTAATACCCAGGTCCCTTACAGGTGTGGTAGCAGCTAATTCAGATCCCGCCGCTGAGGTTGAGGTTGGTTTTTTCCCCATGCGCCTTGCTTTGTCATTTAGCACTGCTCTGTTTCCTCCGCTATTTTATTACCTTGCTGCTTGGTGGCAGGAGGTCCCTCTAGATTCTTTGCTCTGGTTTTTGCTATCCTGAATAGCTGAACCTCCCAGGCACACTTTGTCATCTCAGGTTTGTCTTCTTGTGTAAATCCCCCTTGGGCTCTGCTGGCAGGCTCGCTTATGAAAGCCAAATATTGCTGCTTCTCTTTTAACCCATTATTGATATTTTAAGGATCTTGCTCTTATGCTGTGGCGGATTAGGGTTTTGCAAAGACCACTAGGTGGGGAAGGGGGGGGTTGTCAAAGCTTTCGGGGTTGGGCTGGCCTCCTTCATGTGCTGCCGCTCCTGCGGGGAACGAGGATGGATCTGTGAGATGTGACTTTTTCTCCGCAAGCTGGCAGCTGCGCCCCGGCGCGCCGTGTCTGCCCATGCGTCACTAACACTGCTCCTGGTAGGTGCTGTGATGTGCCAGGTGCAGATGTTTGATTTCCTTATCTGCAGTTACCCAGATCCCTGTGGAGCTTTGTAAAAAACAGAACCAAACCCAACAGCATGGCTTTTGCTGCCTCCCAGGTGGGTTTGAACATGAGGTTGCTCTGATGGCCAATTTCGCCACTGATTGTAGGGGCACCCTAAAGCAATGGGGCTGCTCTGCTGGGGTTGCATCAGGGTACTGTCCCAAAGCTGTAGGGATGCTAAAGGCTGGGATCAGTCCCAAAAAGGAAAGGTCCTGGCAGGAGGAAACTTCCTGATCCTCCTCCTACGATGAATGGAGGTGTCAAGGAAAAGTAATTTCTTTGCTGTGCAGGCTCCTCTCTTTGCCCTTCATTTATTATCCCCGCGGTTGCTCCGACATGCATCCCACTCCCGATGAACACATCAGTTTGTCATTTTTCCTGGTTTTAGCAACACGGAGTCTCTCTTTTTTCCCTGAGTTGCTTTGTTGTGTTAAGTTTATCTTGCCAGAGTTTTGTCTCATTATCTACTTCCCCTGTCGGGGGATGACTTGAACTTCTTGAAGGATGTCGTCTCTCTCCTGGGGGCTTGTTTTTAATATCCCGTTTAATCATGCACATGCCTCTGCCTCTCTCTGACAAGCGCAATGCATTCTTCTGAGCCACTAACAGGATGACTTTGTGCCGCCAGCAAACACTTGGGTGTTTTGATTGTCTGGCTTTTTAATGATCGCCCCAATTTTTTAAGGTGATGAGCCAGGATGTTACGTACAAGGGCGAGCCTGGATGGTGAAAAGCCAGGCCACTGCAGAGGCAGGGCTCATCAAACCTTAATCCCAGGCACCTCCTCCCCGAGCTCCTTCTCAGGGGGGTTTAAGCTGTGCTAAGGTGCAGAGGATTTTGGCTGGGTTTCTTCTTGGCTGCCTTCCTCTTCTCTTGGTGCTGGAGGGGCTGGAGACCTGCTTGCCTGTGTAGGGCCCGGACAAGGTTCCCTCAAACAGCCACCTGAGAGGATGCCCTGCTGGAGAGAAGAACGTCACTCTCTGGGTATTTTTTGCCTCTGCCCCACAGCAGCGTGGCCTTGGCATCGCCCTGCTTTACTGCTGGTGGGGGGGGATGGGGATCAGTCCCAAAAAGGAAAGGTCCTGGCAGGAGGAAACTTCCTGATCCTCCTCCTACGATGAATGGAGGTGTCAAGGAAAAGTAATTTCTTTGCTGTGCAGGCTCCTCTCTTTGCCCTTCATTTATTATCCCCGCGGTTGCTCCGACATGCATCCCACTCCCGATGAACACATCAGTTTGTCATTTTTCCTGGTTTTAGCAACACGGAGTCTCTCTTTTTTCCCTGAGTTGCTTTGTTGTGTTAAGTTTATCTTGCCAGAGTTTTGTCTCATTATCTACTTCCCCTGTCGGGGGATGACTTGAACTTCTTGAAGGATGTCGTCTCTCTCCTGGGGGCTTGTTTTTAATATCCCGTTTAATCATGCACATGCCTCTGCCTCTCTCTGACAAGCGCAATGCATTCTTCTGAGCCACTAACAGGATGACTTTGTGCCGCCAGCAAACACTTGGGTGTTTTGATTGTCTGGCTTTTTAATGATCGCCCCAATTTTTTAAGGTGATGAGCCAGGATGTTACGTACAAGGGCGAGCCTGGATGGTGAAAAGCCAGGCCACTGCAGAGGCAGGGCTCATCAAACCTTAATCCCAGGCACCTCCTCCCCGAGCTCCTTCTCAGGGGGGTTTAAGCTGTGCTAAGGTGCAGAGGATTTTGGCTGGGTTTCTTCTTGGCTGCCTTCCTCTTCTCTTGGTGCTGGAGGGGCTGGAGACCTGCTTGCCTGTGTAGGGCCCGGACAAGGTTCCCTCAAACAGCCACCTGAGAGGATGCCCTGCTGGAGAGAAGGTCACTCTCTGGGTATTTTTTGCCTCTGCCCCACAGCAGCGTGGCCTTGGCATCGCCCTGCTTTACTGCTGGTGGGGGGGGATGCTGGTTCATGCCCCTGCTGCCTGCAGAGATGGGGGTGCTCCGAAAGCCTTCGCCTCTGCCTGGAGAAGGGGCAAGGGGCCAAGCCAGGACCAGGCTCCCCCTCCAGCAGATGGGGAGTGTGCAGCAGGGAGGAAGCTGCCTGGCCAGGGAAGCCCAGCTTGTCCTGGGGGCAAGGGGAGCTGTGGCACCAGGTCTCGGCCGCCTCTGGGGCTCAGCCGCCTCTGGGGCACCTGTGCCTTGGCGGCATCAGCCACCAGCAGCCTCGTGTCAAGGCAGCTCTGCCCGATCAATAAGTAATTTGTGCGAGGGGGCTTGCGTTGCAGGGGAGCAATAATGAACTCTCTGGAGGAGGGAGAAACAATATTGTTAATGCTGAAATCATCCCACACGGAAATAACAGTTGGTGGGAGGCTGGATCCCCAGGGCACCTCTCGGTTAATCCCCCGCCGCTTGCTGGGCAGCATGCACTGGGCCACCACGCTCTGCCGGTGTGTGGGGGCCTGCACTTGGGCTGGTGCCAGGTGGGCGGCTGCATTGGGGAGGCACCTCGCAGTCGAAATGTCCCCTTCCCACCTCGGGGGATTATTTTTTTCACTTGTGCTGGCAGAAATGCGTCCATCATTTCCAAACTGACTGATCCCTTTAGCTCCATTTCCCCCCTCCTTTTTTTTTAAAATTTAATTTAATTTAATTTTTTCCTTGAGATTGCAGAGCCTCTCCTTTGTGCTTCTCACTTAACTCTTCTGCAACCACTCAATTTCTGGTTGCATTAGCAAAACCTCTCTGAGATTTTGAAACCTCCCTGGAAAATATTTCCAGGGGCTTGGGTGCTGCGAGGACCCCAGTCCTGGCATGGCAGGGACCCAACCTTGTCTGTCCTGGGGTACTGCAGTGAGCAGGAGGCCAAGAGCTGCCCTGCCCTTGCTTAAAGCAGGGGGATGGGGACCCGGCCTGATGTGATTTGATGTGGCTCTGGCTCTTCCTGTGGGCTCCCTCCGCAGGGGAAAAGCTGGGAGCCCAGCCTGTCTGTCTGTCCCTGACATGAGCTGCAACAACACGCGTCTGCCTTTGCAGGTCCATTGGAGGGGCTGGGGTATGGCCGCACCTCGCCCTGCAGGGAGGAGAAGGCCAGGGCTGCCCTCAGGCGTGGCTCCAGCAGCCTCAAGAGCACGAAGACACTGATCACTGATCCAGGCCCCTTCATCGGGGAGAGGATTGACCCTGCCCTGCCCCTGGAGAGCCAGTGGTGAGTCCAGCCTGTCCTGACTGCCGCTCTAGGATCCCCATGGCTGTGCCACAAGGGGCCCTGGGGTAGACCTGCTTCTTCCCTTCATCTCTGGCCCGGCGTTTCTGCCGGCTTGTCCCTGCCACCCTTCTCACAGCCGTGGTGTCCCCACGTGCCCTCCATGTCTCCCTAAGGTGCCCAGCAGGAGTCCTGCCCCTTGTCCCCCAGCCCCGGCAGTGCCATCGGTTTCCCTCCCCTTGAACACCACTGCTGTCCCTGGGGAGCTGCCAGGGGTGCTGTTGTTGCTGCTGCCCCAGGGCAGCGTCTGCTCTCTGCCTGGCATAGCCTGTCCCTCTCCTGCCCACAGCTGGTACCACGGGGCCATCAGCCGGACCGATGCGGAGACGCTGCTGAGGCTGTGCAAGGAGGCCAGCTACTTGGTGCGCAACAGCGAGACCAGCAAGAATGACTTCTCCCTCTCCTTGAAGTGAGTGAGCTGGGATGGGGCTGGGGGGGCAGTGGACAGTGGCAGAGGTGGCACAGTGCTGTGGCTGACCCCCTGTGGGTGGGTGCCCTGCGCGAGCCTGTGCCCATGCTGATGGGGTGACACAGAGGTGACTGTGGGGTGGTCAGAAATGGCTGGAACATGAAGCCTGGACTTCTCTGTGGTGTGGCATGGGCTTCTGGTTTGGTGTCTGGCAAACGCCTCTCTCGGGAAGGCTTATGGATCTGGAGGCATGCTGCTCCTCCCTTGGCAGGGCTAGTAATCCCTCAGACAGAGAAAATGCTGTGCCTCACTGCTCACTCAAACGTGTCTGGTTACAACTTCCAGCCCTGCCTTCCCATTATCCCATTTTCTTCATATCTTGCTTTCATGGGAAAATGAAAGTTTGTGTGATCCCATTGTTGGTGGAAACACAGGTACCCATCCCTGCCCCCCCAGCCCATGTAAGCCCTTGCTCATCTGTGGTGTAGAGAGGGGATTACACTGCTTTGGTTTCCCAGCAGGGAAACCTCACCTCCTGACAGCATGACTTGGTTTCTGCTTGGGTTTGGTGGGGGGGGTTGCACCCTCCCCAAGGTTCCTTTAGTGCCAAAACTGCATGAAGCATTGCCCAGGAGAAGCTGCCCGTAGCTCCTTGTCCAGCTCTTTTGGCACTCTTGGGGCAGCCCAAACCTGCGAAATCAAAGCAAATACCTTCCTGCCTTCCTGCTGGACAAGTACATTGGCTCTGTTCCTGGCAGACGTGAAAAAAGTATTTACTGGGCACATCAATCATCTCTGCCCAGCACCAGGCCACGCAGCCCTGCACCCTTCCCCTTGTACTTTGAGGTTCCCCAGTGGTCTTGGTACCTGCATTGCTCCCTGCTGGTCTCAGCCTCCTCTGTTTATTCCCCAGTGACACAACTGTGAATTAGATTGCTCCGTCTCTCTATTTTATTTTTTGTACACTTTTTTGCTACCTTCAGCCCCAAACCAGGGCAGAAGTTTAGCTGAAAATATTCTGTCTTCCTTCTGCACTTGCAGCTCTCCAATCAGACAACAAGACTTCCCGGAAAAGCTCCTACCTTTCCTTTTTGGTTTGGGTTTTTTTTTTTTTTTGGTCAGAATTTTTACCGATGTTTTAATTTTCTCACTGTTTTTCCCTTGCCCTGGCTTGCTGGCAATTTAGAAGCACCAGCTTCTGCTGGTTGAGGAGTCATGTTCGAGGCTGTGAGAGGTCCTCCCAGCCGTCGCCTCCGGGGTGGCATTAGCCAGTGTGTGTTGGAGAGCCTGGGAGGTGGCACTGGGGTCATGGATGGGGCTTCCCCCCTTGCCGGTGCAAGTGCCCCTTTTCATCACCTCTCTACAAGCCAATCGCTTTCTATATAGCTGTAAGCTGGCTGGCTTCATCTGTCTCTCTATTTTATTTTATTTTTAACTCTTTGCTTTTTTCCTTGAGGAAGGAGGCGCAGCCAAGGAGATGGTCTTAAAGTGAGCTCTGGTGCTGACCTAAAGCCCTTTTGTGCTGCTTTAAAGGAAAATACACACAAGAGAGAGCAGCCAGAGTGGCTGTACTCATATTGCTGGACCTGTGCCCTGTAAGGTAGCTGGAAGGATTTATTCCTGCTATGGCAGTCCTGGCTGGTCCAGGCGAGGCAGCCCCACGTTTCTTGTCGTTGGCAGAACTGCAGTGCTGTTGCCTCAAGCGCTCGGGGAATGAGTCCCTCCTGGCTCACGCCTCCGTGAGAGTGGCTGAGGCCACGCTGCAGAGGTTTGGGTCCTTCTTCGCATCTGTAGGATGCTCAGCAGGAGGAGGACCTGCCCCTTGTCCTCATCGTGTCCCTGCTGCTGGCTGTGAGGCTGCCGGATTTGCAGTGTGCTCCCTCGGGCATCGCTCTGGTGGTCCGGTCTCAGTCACATCCCTGAGCTTGTGACAAGAGACACGGGGAGTGGTTTGGGGAAAACACAGCCAGCATCACCTCTCTGGGGACCTGTACAGCAGCGCTCTGGCTTCGGACCAGCACTGATCCTGCACAGGGGTCCTGCGCATCTCTCCCCTGCCAGCGCTAGGCAAGGGCCAGGTTCACAGAATCCCCAAATGGCAGGGGCTGGAAAGGCCCTCCAGAGATCACCCAGTCCAACCCCCCTGCTCAAGCAGGCTCACCCAGAGCAGGGTGCACAGGACATCGTCCAGATGGGGTTGTAATATCTCCAGAGAAGGAGACTCCACAGCCCTGTAGACAGGGTGCAGCGCCGAGGGCAGCTCCTGTGGGCAGCTCCGCACGGTAGTGGTGCTACCGTGCGTGCGTGCATGCAGGACAAACCCGTGCACCTTCATGGGGCGCCATGCGTGGTGCAGCCCCTGCAGCTCTTCCCCACACCCCATTGCTGGGGTGCAGGATGCTGCTGGCTATCGCTTTTCCTTGGCCCCTGGCCCGGGGCTGCGACTCTCCCCCCTGCCCTCCCCTGGGGCGGCTGGCTCCCTGCCTCCCGGTGCTAAATGGATTGCAAACCCATTCTGCTAATGCAGCCGGGCTGTCCATTACGGGCACCATCTCCAGCCGGGGGGAAGGGACCGGCCTGCACAGCGCTGGAAGAGGATCAGCATTGCTGATGAGGTCCTGTCTGCTTTTAAGTAATCAATATTTTGCCGTAATGTGTATTCCAGATGCTGCAGACAGGCTGTGGCTCTCCTCGGAGACGCAAATTAATAGCAACAGGGCCATTAGCCCGTCACTTGGAATCAGCGCTCGTGGTAGGATCTGTCTGCGCAGCCTCGTGTGGCTCAGTGCCCGTGCTGTGCCGGGAAATGGCCTTGCTACACTGAGCGGGTTTTATGGAGCCCGCAGTGTTGGAGGCGGGGGGGTGGGCAATGGGCTGCAGACCAAAGGAGAAAATCCTGCTTTGCCACGGTGAGGCTGGGGCACACATCAGCCATGCTGCTCCTGTGCGAGACAGGCGGCTGCAAAAGGGGCTTGGCCACGTGCAAGGGGCAAAAGCCGCTGCCCCTAGGTCACCCTGCAGCGAGAGCCCCCAGTGCTCCTGCCTGGGCTGTGCCCCTGCTTCCCTGCCCCAGCCTTGGGCACCGACCCTGCCCATGGATGGATCCCTTGCACCCCCTGCGTGGCACCCCCTGGGGGGACATGGTGGAGCCTGGCCAGCCATGTCCCTGCCTTGTGCTGGAGCAGGTCAAGAGCAGGATGGTGCGGGCAGGGCTGTGGCTGGGGATGGGAGCCGGCAGCATTCCCCCAGCTGTAGGGGCAGGCTGCTTGTCTGGGGGTGGCAGGAACCGATGGGAGGCCGAGGCCAGCCGCACCCTGTAACCCTGCCCTGATCTCTCCTTGCC